TTAAAGCCGTAGATTGCATGATTTGACGTCATCAATAATTTCGGCCTCATATTTATTCCGCTTTTCTTGAAATGAAACATCCGCAACTATCACATAATTTTATTGGCTGTGTAATTTTAATGTTTTTTTTAAGCTAAATTTCAAAAGCTAAATATAATTTCAAAGCTAAGTATAATGAAGTAATTCATATTTCACGAAACATTACCTATAGATATTGTAGAAAAAAAATCCGAGGCCATCGACTTTTTGATAGACACATAAATGTCCAGTCTTTTTATTATTAACATAAATGTACATATAAAGTACGGTATATCTGTAGTGTTTCATCAGCCTTGATCGTTAGATTGAATTGGATTTTTCTTGTGTGAGAAAAAGACCAGTTCCTCTTTTTGTGGGCCCCGTTTTTACTGCGACAAAGAACCTTTCTTTTTTTCTCGTCAGTAGAAACAGGCCCTTATTTTCAGTAGGGTCTTTTCTTTAATGAATTGGGCAGTTCACCAGGGGACAATCCCTACTTTTTTCGAAGTATACAGTACTGCGTTCTTTAACGCGCACATAGACAATATTGCACACGAGACCAACGATTTAAACATCTCATCCGTGCATTTCAACCCTCCACCTGTAAAACAACACATGCAGAGAAGCGGAAAGAATTGCACCGGTGACCAAAGTAATCCGCAAGTGAGTGCACATACTAGGGGTGGATTGAGAGGGGGAGTTACGGGCCGCCCCCACCCACTTTGGAAAGTAAAAAAAGAAAAGAAACAAAGCATTGGTTGCCCTAAACGCCTCAGAGGTTACTCACGGGCGTCTAGAAAGCAAAAATTTCCCTGTCACGCAATGTACTGTTTATCTCTCGATGCCCCCCCCCCCCTTTCGGCATCTCTGGATCCGCCAATGCACATGGTGTCTACCACCAGGTTAGTCGACTGAGCTCATTGCTCTCCTATGCATTTTAAGTGAAGTACTTTAAAAATGCAAAGTCAAAAGTATCACAATATTGTTTTATGAAGAATAATATGACATCATGATAGGCATAATTACAAGCGTCAAGCTAGATAGGCCATATTCACTGATTGCCAGCGAGGACGTGATATCAGTTCAGCTCATTAACCTAGTGTATTTTAAATTGCCTTAAGGTTGTTGAACCTCAATATCTTTGAATAGATATAATGTATATAAGTTATATATATATATATATATATATATATATATATATATTATGTGCAGGTAACATGCAGGTAAACATTATTATACAGGATGTGCCTATTAGTATTACATGCAATAGTGATACCAATGGTAAGAACATTATCATATCATTATTTATATAAATTGCTGACATTCCTATGCACATTTCTCTTGTTATCAATTTACATAATATCCTATTGTGTCTATCGTTTTACATATTTACCTCTGCCTACAATAAATCTATTCGCCACGTTGGTGATGACACCTATAACTGCTGTAATTGCCGATTTATGAACGTGACGCATCCTAAATCATTTTTAGGCCATCATTTTACTAGCGTAGCGAGAAGCCTGTCTCGTGATTTATGGCTACAGACATCTGTTTTAGCACATGCATTACTGATATTAAGTTTGAGTACATTACAATCATTAGCTTCATTATAATGTATATAGAAGGACTTTGCACAATTAATGGTAATCTATCGGTTCACACTCGGTAGCTGAACGGATTGTGATGTTGCGAGTTGTCCGTGTTTCAATTGTTTTCATTTGTTCGTGTCCATCTGTTTGTCTTTTTTCATCAATTCGTTCTATTCATTCAGTTATTAATTCAGAGAAAATTTCTTGGTGTTACGTTAGTGACGGCATCGAGCGCTTGTACGTTTAAGCTTGGTTCACGCTAGAGCAATTTAAGCGACGCGTTTCGACGACGCAATGCAACGAAAGCTACGCCAGTCAACACTCAAGACGATTTATTTTTAGACAGGGGCTAACACAAACGCAACTGTACGCCAGTAAACTTAAAACTTTGTTCTCTTGCAGATTTTATGTTTTGTACTGTATGTTCTGTCGTTTCTGCTAAGATCTACCCAGACTGCAAACGATGGTCAGCAGACTGGTGTAGCGCCGGTCAAGCGCGCACACAGATCGCGGACGGGTTCGTCAACTATAGCGTTCGTGGCGACGATTTTAGGGCGACTTAGACAGCATTGTCAACAGATAATTTTTGGGTCATTTTCACCGACGCCTCTCAGCTATCGATAATCAGCAGGCTGGTGTCGTGTCGATGAGTAGGCTAAAAGGTTTGGTTTCCATACAATCGCTACACACTATTGTCGACAGCTTTGGTAATGCTGATTATTCGGTCGAATTGGAAAGCCTTCCAGTCGGGGAATGCAACGCAGTACAATGATTTCACGGAAAACACTTTAGCGATAACCAGGTCTTTATTACAGACTTAAGCCGGGCACTCAATGCGCCCGACGGTCGTCGGCCGACGCGATTCTATGGAGAACGCAGTGTCGTGACTCGCGTCGCGCAAAGGATCATTTTTAATGATGATCCGTTCAGACAGCCACCAAAAATCAGTAGACAGTGCCAAGTCGTCTGGCGCTCATATACAGCGGAGTTGGATTCGGCATACGACGGTCGTGCGACGCAGTGCGTGCTCTACAGTATCGACGGTAGGCCGATACGATCCCTTGGCAACCGCATCCCAACAAAGTGCGCGCATAACGATTCGCTCAAATTGTTACCGACAATCAGCATACTGGCGTCTCGTCGGGTAAGCAATCACACAGTGTACGCACGGATTTGTCGTACGCTATGCTATCTTTAAGCAGACGCCTCACAATCAGTCACACAGGACGAACAACTACTATTGTTTTTTCTTCCATTTTAACAAGAATGATAAATGCGTGGCCCAAATATATTATGACGTCAACGCGTAAGATATTAACTTTAAATCATAACACGTATTCTATATTTTACGAAGGATAAACATGCAAAAAAGCACTCTTTGATTCGACTGTTTTTGAGAAATAATTGATTTTACAAGTAACTTTAGTGGACATTCTGATTGGTGAAGTTTTAATTTGAGCAACGAACACAGTTAGAAAACGTGCATTTACAATGGTAACTCCAAAATGAATAATACGAAATTCTAATTAAATTAGTCCAAACCACGTTTATTCTTATAGGCATATAAAAGTGAAACATCCAGAGATTTACAATCTGTGATTGGCTGTTTTACACATATTAAAACGCGAACATAATTATGCATGCCATGTACGTGCAGCTATAAGTACCCGTGTGTGGGCTAATGTAGTTAGGGCTTGTAGACTAAAAACTGTATTTAATTCATATGATATTTGTAAAATGATTTGATAAACGTTTTAAGGCCTCTGAAATGAGACGCCTCGGGATGGTGTGGGTTTGATATTCTAGATGAATTACATACGATGCATATAACGCAAATATCAATTTATTACTGATTTAACGACTACCTGTGAATTTTTATTATACATTGTTACGAATTGTTTAACCAATTGTTAAATCGACATACGTGTAACTATATGAAGTGTATAAATACACTTATAGAAATCCAAAAGGTACCGTTATAATGTCATGTATACAGTTTGATAGAAATTATATTTTAAAGGTCACTATACGTATTCCAGTTACTTTTTTTAGAATAGAGGCACTTAAACCGATCGGAAAAAACATCTAGGTGGTTATTTTTTTTCAGAGCATGTACAATGTTGACATTTAAAACTATATTTTTATCAATTGTCAAAACAATCAAACCTTAAGCGAGCAAGGGAAAATCACCAACTGACACGCTACTCGTGTACCGAATCTACGTTAGCATTATTGCGAGAAATTTAACTCGATTTTTTTAATTAAAAAAAAAACAACAACAACAGCAACAAAAACGGTTGTACAATGGTTGCATGTACAGAGCCGCAGTGGCTTGTCTTTTGCCTACTGGGACATATATTACACACAAAAGAACTAGAAGAGAATAACGTATATAAATATACAGTCAATGACCTAACCAGGGAAAAGCGCGCACAGGCCCCTTCCAGTCAAGTCCACGTTTGGTAAAGGAGAACTCAGCTGGTCCCCTGTCTCAGGCTCCAACCCTGAATTGCTTAATTTAATTTTGTCGTTTTCTTAATACAAACTGACTAATCATAATTCTGCTAATCATAGAATATACATCTTGTTACATAATATGCGTTTATTTTGTAATAAAAATCAGACAAATATTATGTCCAATGGGTCGACTCGTAAATACATAAATAAACTATTGCTGTCTCTCCACAGAAAATGCGTACCTCCGTCTGTGACTGAATGCCGAATAATAGGCTACACGCAGTTCGTTTATGGGCGATTCCATTATTTTCTTTTAAGCTCGAGGGATGAGTTTCCAGAATTTTTTTTTTCGAATTTCTATGAATTTGACCTTGTCTTTTTTACCCCAAAGTGTAATAACCTCTTCCTTAAACACTATGCCACTCCACTAGACAAACAGCAACAAATACAGAAACTACTTGGTGGAGGTAATTAATTAGTTAGCTAAAGATTGTTGTGCAATAATAATATGGAAATAAGGCTTATTTTAGCTAAATCATGCTAATTAGAAATTAGTGCATTGATTTTACATTATGGTGGTGTGATGGAAGCGTAATGATGAGTTTGGCAGTATTATTATTATTACTGTATTATTATTATATTATTATTATTATTATTATTATTATTATTATTACTTGTTCAAATACTTTAAAAAAAAACACAATGTGGTAGTACGATCGTGTTCTTAAAGTCCGCTTACAATTATCGATTACATTGAAAGCCAACTCCAAAAATAAAAAGGAAATAGTGATTCAATTCAGTGCTTCGTCCTTTTCTGATGATGATGTTCTAATAATGGAAAAAATATTGAGTTACTGTGGCTACTCTTTTTACAAGTTCGCATGTAAATTATAATTATTAAATACAGGTCTAATCAATTAATCCATTGGATTTCAGGTTATTTGATCAGAATCCTGAGTTATTACCATTGTTTCCATTCGGAAAGAGAGACAGAACGGAGGCGGAGCTAAGACGGCATCCTCTCTTCAAGAGGCATGTTAGAGGTGTTATGAACACGATAGATACGGCTGTAAAAACAGTTGAAAACCTCAATAACGTCGTTCCTACATTAACACAACTAGGCCGCAAACATGCAATGTACGGTGTAAAACCAGCATTCTTCCAGGTAAGTAAATATAGGCCCATACTTCTATTTCAGCCCCTATTTTTTTACCCAAGCCAACTCCAGCCAAAACTTCAACTCTCAACTCTAACCTTATTTGCAGCACCAACCCCAGGCCATACCTTAGTCTACAACTCCCCATTCTAAGCCCGCAAACAGAAAACGTTATTTTAACATTCACGTATATTTTTACAATATAAAATACTAATATTAATATATAAAACATATTGAAACACGAAAAATGGCATATCACTGTAAGTGATGACCACGACTGCACATTGTCAATCGTACAGCAATGATATTGTGTGTGTGCCAAAATCTACCAATACGTGTGACATTATGAAATTGTTAATTGTTGAAGAGGCGTATTGCGTTTCAAAACACATAAAGCGAGCTGTCTTTCAATTTGCCACTGTACAACGCCTTATCAAACACTTATCTTGCAAAACAAATATAGAAAAACCAGAATTGTGTATCATTGACAAACGCGTTGACAAAATCGATACATTTGTAATGTCGAACGGGCTTTTACGTTTGGAACATTTCCAGAGGCGTTGCTTAGCCAAACCCTTAGCTATATGCTATATAGCTAGCACCATGATATAGTACAGTGGCTTGTTATCTATGAGTTACCACTAGGCCAAAACCACCCTTCCCCCTCCCCTCACACAAACCTGAAGATGTCCTGGGAAATTAATGGGTATTTTGTTTTTGCCGGGAGAGTGGGCCCCATATAATCAGCCGAGCGGGGACCCTTAATACGTCTAAAAACATCAAATACGCCCTTATAAAACGCCAACACTTAAGTGGACAAGGGCTTCGTCCCATACCCATGGAATCCTACGCACCCCCTTCCCCAGGGTACTAGGACCCTAAGAAACCTTATTAAAGGGTTTCAGTCCTTTTGTTACGCCACTGATATTGCCAGGTGGGGTAACCAAGCTAAGAACATTTCCTTTCTTGTTAACAACCCAGGAACATACTGCAAACCAACATCCATCCGAACGAATGGAAATTAGTGTTCGTAATTGTAAAATCCTATTTGCTAAATTTTGAATAAATATTTCTTCTTATATTCCAAACAAATAAGTGATTATAGGATGTACTCGATTTGGGATCTGATAGATAGTCAAAGTAATCAGTGAGAAACATTCGAAAAGGTTCTTTGCATACATAATATACTTTAAGTCAAATTGAAATGTCAAGTAACCGAGTTCTCTGCTCCAATCTAGCCCAAAGCAATACCTAGATGTTCATAAGTTTAGCAATTTAGCGAGGCAAGCAAATATTTACGTTCAAATTGTCTTATTCTCAATATCGCTAGGTTTTTTTTTTTTACTTACGAAGCAGATCAGTTGATCGAAGAGGCTTGTCAATCTGCTTCCGCGCTTCGGGAGTGGAGCTACACTTGATGAAAATGGCATGAGAAGGCTTCACAACTATTATACGATCGCTCGGTTTTCATAAGCGGAATCAAAGGGGCAGGGCAGCTGCCCCCGCCAACATAATTCGTCTTGGAGAAGAGAAAATTAAATGTATTTTTTACATATTAGTACACACTAAAATCGATTAAGTAAGCCATGAAATCCCTAAATTGTCAAAGTTTTCGGGGCAATCATCCTTGGATCACTTCCGAGAGATTTTTGAGATCACTTCCCCTCTCGTCGGCATCCCCCCCACCACCTCCTCGTCGAGGACATCAGACCCCGTCGGGCAAATCCTGGCGGAACCCCTGGGGTGCAGGCTCAATTAGCCTCTCCGCTCTTTAAATCTTAAAAGAAAAAATTGTATTCAAATTTAAGTATGAAAATACTATCCGGTCATATACAAGAGCCACATACATAAAATTCCTAGCTAAGTCCTAGCTAGCCCCGACCATAGTTGGGCTGTGGTGCTGTACAATCTGCATCTGTTTAAATCCCTCCTAATCCCTATATTTCGATCAACTGTCTGTTTTAAATATTATTCCGTTATCATATATACGCTTAGAAACATTTTTGTCTCACACATTTTGGGGAATTCTCGCTTACATTCGTTTCTTGTCGCTTACGAACGCTGTGTCTGCTAATTGTAAATGTCGCGTTGTCAAAAGGGGTGAAACGCATTCCAATAACGTTGCGTCGGAAATAACCGCTTGCGGGAAGCAAAAATACAGGGTAGCAGACAATAGGTACACAAAATTCCCGGCTCGGGGATAGAAAAATTATGTTGATTGTGAAATGCTTCCTCCAATATTATTTTCATATTCCGAAACGTTCGGTTTCAAGTATTTGCCCTATTTTGATAGGCCTAATTGTCAAACAGAAAAGAAATCAGAATGAATATGGAATAGTGACAATGTAGGCCTCTAAACGCAACCGGAATGTAGAACGCGAGGTGATTCTATTGCATTTCATAATTGACTCTATTAAAGTGTTAATATTTTTTGCATTATACCGGTAGGTCTACCTATTTGATATGATTGCATCCGCCATTAGCACTGTTATGTCAGTGTGTGCGGAATTGTTGAAATGACAAGATTGAGTGACCTAGGTTTGGTCTCTACATGACTTCAAATTTCCCCTTAGCTCTTTATCGGTTGTTTCTTGCACTAAGGTATCCAAGAAATAAACTTGTTTAAAATGTTCGTGGCATTTGAAATTGTACAACTATGCTCAAGTTAATGCACGTGTGCATTTTGTGCCTGCACATTCAAGGTAATTTTGCTCTCAATATGCTCAAAAATCAGCTCAAGATATGTTGTTATCTTCATTCCTACAATAAGTACTTACCGGTAGCGCTTATTGTGTTCATTTCGCAGTAGCATTTAAGCTTCATTTATTAACTCCCAGCCCCTATTGAAAAATTACTTAACCCAAAACCAAAAACAGATCGAGATAGAAACATTACGAAATATTAATAATATGTAGGCCTACATCCCGTTTAAACAGACTAGAAACAAGAAAAATATCGTATTAATGGCCATCCTCTTGGAATGATCTCCAAACTACCTTAGGACCAAAAAGAAATGACCTTCCTCCCAACTCTAAAAAAAATATTAAGAAGATGATATTTAAAATATATATTACAACTTAGTTAACTAGGTCCTAATGTAAATAGTAATCAGTGGCGGATCGAGGAATTCGAAATAGAGGGGGCCCGGAGAGGAACTTTTACAGATGGAGGTTCTATCTATTTAGGATTTAAAATTTATGATTATGGCACCTAGAGATGGTCGTAAATGGCACTCTTAAACTTAAAATTTGAGTAGAATTTTCTTTTTTTCTCATTTTTTTTTATTTTTTTAAATTTAAGTGGGGCGGGGTGGGGGGCGATTTCCCCCCCCCCCCTAAATATGCCACTGGTAATATAAAAAAAATGTTTGATGACAGTTATAAGATTTGGTTCACACTGTATTGCGCATGTGTAGGCGTTTTGCTTTCGCTTGCGTCAGTCCGTCTGAATTGTTGTAGTTTGAGCCAAGCATCATATTTTTCAACATTATACTCATTCTATGTTTTGTATTCCCACGAAAGTGCTTACAAAACGGATGGCCCTTAATTATCAATAAGATTAGGTTTAGGCAACATTTGAGCAATTGTTTAAGACCAGTCTTAAGGCGCAGCTTACAAACAGAGACGTCCGTTTCCTCCGTTAGGCTCTCCTCCATTCGGTTTAAGACCTATGGGTATAGTTACCACGCACGCAAACATTTCCAAGTGCAAACGCATAGGAAGGATTCGCAAGTTTACGAAAACGATAAGGAGTACGGTTACGGCATCAATTTTTTAGTCAATCCATCTCATACAGTAGCATATCTATTAATTATTTTTGAGGCACGAATGACGATAATGAAGACTCTACGTATTCGTATTCGTTATCATTTTCGTAAGGTTGCGAAATCTCCCTATATACTGTCTCGTTACTGGGTAAAAATAGGCCAGCAAATAGATAGAATAATAAAAATAATAGACGAGTCAAAGCCAGGAAAGCTTTTATAAGGTTTAATGGCTGAATATATTATTTGAAAGAGAAAATAGTTTATATGGCTAGTCTATTAGTGGAGTGAAGATCTGTACGAATTTACAATAAGATGCCCCCTGGGGGCGAAGGCCTCCCTTAGTTATTCCGCGTGCAAGAATATTCTTCCATTAGCCATATATATTGGTGAGCTAAATTAGAAAATACTTTCGCGGAGACATAAAAACTAACATTATATACCGCAGCGCAGAGTACATGTTTTCGGTATAGGCGCTATTCAATGCACACTCGTAAAAGTACATGTAAAGACATTTGAATCATTAATTAAGTATTTCACGTTATATACAGGTATAGAATGAGTACAGGCTAATGTTGATAAACTGCTTCAAGTATTTTCTGGCTTAGTGGGCACGCTGGGGGGATTTCAGACTCTCACTGACTATATAAAAGCAGCGTTGAATTTCTCTCACAAACGGTACACAGCGATTTATGATCCGACCTAGTGTTGGCTGGATACCCTCTCAAACTGTGATTAATTCACAGAGAGTTTGGAAATGGAGAAAGCTTTCAAGAGAAGATTAAGATACAGGTTTTCAAGAAAACATGTATTTTATTCACTAAATGAACAGCATCATCTTCATCATCATTGGCCTATAATCATTATATAATATAATCGATGATATTTACATGATTAAGGGGGAGGTGTGGCGGTTGGATACGTGATAGTGGACAAAGACGATGAATGTGGACAAGTCTCGCCAAAAGCTGGACAATGTAATTGTATACTCATATGTAGGCTTTGTAATACACATATGGGCAGAATCCGTAATTTGCAAGAGACCTTAATTCCCTCGACCTTAATGCCCTCGATCTCTGTCCCCCGCCCAACGGGAGGAAACACCCTAAAATCTCACGAATTTCATATCTTGGCAAAAATGGTGAGTTGGCCTGCAGTATAGGGAGACCTAAGCTTGCACAGTCATTTTTTTCTGTGGTCGTGCGGTAAGCCCAAACCCAGGATTTTTTCGTGTTTTTGCACGAGGAATACAGTACCAGTAATAACAAATTAATAAAATGTCTCCGATCGTCATACAGTTATAGATCGTATGGCGTCCTGCTACGCTTAGAGGACCAACAGTATGTTTCGCATGGCGATCTCGTATTTTTTTTTAGATATGCTCTCGCTCATCTTACCAGCACCAAAAAGAACTCACCCACAAAAAAAGAAAGAAAAAAAATAATAATGCGCTTTTAGATTGTATCAAACGTCGACGATAGTGCGTTAATAAATCGTCTGCAAGTGTGCATTTTCAAATTTGCAATTAACCATAGTCTTTCTTGATCTTAACGATTAACAAGGGTTAATTTTGTGGAGTGTGACATCATTAGTTCGGTACTGTAATTGTCCCAAATCAACGCATTCCTGAATATATAGGTCTTCTCTTTTACCTTACGTTTAATTTCTCTTAAAACAGGCAGTTGAGAACGCACTGGTTTATGCCCTGGAACAAGCATTACAAGATGCGTGCACCAATGACCACGAGCAAGCGTGGCGAAAACTGTTTAAAGTTATCTCTGGAACAATGTCAGTTGGACTCGAGCAAAAGTAAGCTGCATTAACCATGGCAATAATTATGTGAATATAATTTTGGTCTATGACGTCATGCAGGTGCACCATCTATCTACACACTGGCAGATTTTGGGATGAAAATTTGCGGAAGGAATTATTCCGTAAGGGTAGCCCGGATCGAGTGTCCGGATAGTGTGAAAATGCAGTGAAGGAACAATATCAACGCAAACGACCTCTCACAAGCTGATGATAACTGTGTCTTCATTTCTGACAATAATCGATTGCCACGGATCTTTTGAATAATCGATTTTTATTTGATAGATGTATATAGGTAATCGATTGGTTTGAATCTGAAATATAGTGTACAAAATCCAAAATTATGTAAATAGTCGTAAGTGTTAACTATTTCTAATTTTCTGAATAATTTGAATACACTTAAATTCAATTTTTCAATCAGTAAAACGGCATACCGATCAATTGCTCAATCAATCAATCAATCAATCAATCATCAATCAATCAAGCAATAAATAAATAAATTAATTAACAATAATCAAGTAATCGATAAATCAACCAACCAATCAAATGATCAATCAATCAATCAATACATCAGGTATATTACTTAAGTTTTCTAAAAGACCACGCCCAATTACTAGGCTTCATAGTAACTTGGCTTCATAGCCAATTTTGGGTTCGAATCTCAATAGAGACAATAAATAAATAAAACATCTCTGAAGTGCAAACATGACACAACACAAATACACATACACACAAATACATACATACATACATATATATATATATATATATATATATATATATATATGGTTGTTGTAACTTCATAACTTTATACATATATAAAGTATTACCAATTTTAATATTAACTGTGTAATAAAGTATTTAATTGTTTTAAAACATGTTTTTTGTGTAAATGACATAAATGACCTATATAAGGCATATATATGTATATATATGTATATAAGTATATATATACAGTATATATAATTTAATGCCTATATCGATTTTAAGTTTATGTTCAGAGTAGCAGTTATATCGCGTGATACTCGATAATTAGAATAAATCAAGAAGCTCTCTCTTATACACATCTAGATGTGTATAAGAGACAGATATATATATATATATATATATATAAATGGTTTTTAACTTTAGAGTAGCAGTCGTTGGTTATATCACGTGATATTTGATAGTTACATCCTCATCTATAGACGCGCTGCCTCTCGGCCGACAATGTTTTGAGTGTTCAGGCATATGAAGATGAATGTGGTCTCACGTACATCAGAGCATGGCCGCGTGGCACAGCTTATAAGCACGAGCAAGCTCATAACTTGATAGAGAGGCATATTTATTATACCAATCTGTTAAATCATTCGACATTGAAACATATATAGATGGATTACGTAAATTATTGTTTTGATTTATTTTTATCAATTTTTATATCTTTCGAAGAAAATGTTAAGTCGTAACCTTTACAATAATTCTAAGCATATATTGTGTAATGAAAGATGCTACCGTTTTGATAAATGATTGTAAATATATAAAATACAAATACGTAACAACAATTAGAGTTGTTATGACGTTTGTGATTTATCTAGAAACTGTATTATGAGTAGATTAACTATGTGGGAATTTCGATAAGTTTTGTAAAATGTCTGCAGAATGTCATTAAAAGCCAAATGAAAAGCAGGGTATCGTTAGGGGTAGAATATGGAGAGAGAAGGTGGAGGGGGTGAAAATAAGGTGAAACACATGGAGAATTTTACTGGCTGATAATAAGTATCATAATATCAGGTATTCATTTTTTTACAGTTGTTACAAGGGGATTTCCCCCACCCCAAAGTACCGAACCCTTTACATACAATTATCTCCGAGCAATGATTAAACAAGCAATACACGCCGTGTCTTAACATGTAATCAAGTAATCACTAAGTTTAAACTACTTGTCTTGTACGTCACAATCAAGGTGGTTTTATATTTAAACATGTGCAGAATATGTGTATTGGATTCAGTGGCGTAGCTACTTGTGAGTGTCCACCGAGGCCCACAGCCTGAGTTACGGTTGGGGGTTTGACGACATTTTCGTCGTCGTCAGTAGGGAGCTTTCGCTTGCACGACGACTGTAGGACGTAGAACGTAATGAACGTAATGCGCATGCAAGAACGGTAAGTTCTCGTCGCGTGGATTCTAGAACGCAATTTGGCAAAATCTACGTATGCAGAGAACGTAGGACGCCTGGTAAGACGGTCACACATGAGTGACTCCGTTCCGTTCCGTCGTCGCAAAAAATCGAAAGCACCCTAATACCAATGCACACCGATGTCGAATAACAGCAGTATACAAGTTATGATTTATGATATCTCTTTTGTATCGAAAGTAAAATGAAACCCACAAAATATGAGTTTAGACATTCATTTACTTCTGTTATATTCTGCCAGTTAAAAAATTGAAAAACAAAATAAATTAATACTAAAAATTAAAAAGAATACAAATAAAATAAAAACAAGTAAAAAAAAAACAAAACCTATAGACTAATGCAAAGTACGAAATTCCAATCTTGCCTTTAATGCACCAAGGTTTTTAAAGACGTGTAAACAACCTCGTATATAGGCCTATCCTGGTACAGAGGAACTTGCCGGTAGTAATCGCTTTCCATTTAGACTCTCCTTTTCCTTTTTCCAAGTCTCTACAAGCTCCGACGTTTTAGCTTTACACGAGCCGCATTTGATCAAATTTTAACAAGTTTAGGTACTGATTAACGTTTTTAGACTTGTTAAGAATAAATCAAGAAGAATACACAATTACAATGAACACAATAATCAATAATCATCGCCCCTAAAACCTTCATTGAGAGGCTTGCTGGCTGATCAATTTTTGTATTAAAAATTAAATAGAAAATGTTTTTTTTTTTTATGTTAAATTATAATTTGTAGACGACTGTTATTGAACGGGGCCCCTAATAGTCCCAGACCCAAGTGCCTGTCATTATCGAGTTTACTAATAATTGTCGGCACAATGTTTTTATAATTAATCGGCTGCAAACAGCTGTAGATTTCAGCATTAACATTAGCACATTCAGTGGCTTAACTGGATCAAAGCAGGTCATTTGGTGTCAATGTAAAATATAATCCAAACACACTAAGGAGCATGTGAGTATATTATCACGTCATCGGGGACAGGAGTTTGGTGGTGCTCTAACAATCCATGTTTGCTTTAAAAAATCTGTCCGAATAGCCGTGACCGACGTGAAGTGGAAGAGGACTTAGCCTGTCAGACATGGTTAGCTTACGCCACGTACCCCACAGGAGCCACCGCCTGAAGTCCGCCCGCCCCACTGAGTAATTCCGTGTTTGCATCAGCTTATGGTAGGCCTACAAGTTCGATTCCAGGTACGCCTTATACGGTACTTTTCCATATACAATTCACTTCCTCTACTCATTTAACTTTCACCTACTAATACTTTTTAAAATTTATATTCTAATATTAGGGCTATCTTAATTGAATGGTTATTGTGTGTGAATTATCACCGTTGAGACTTCTAATATGCATTTTCAGTAATAATTTTATTTATGTGCCT